GCACGAAGAACAACGAAGTTGTTTGCGCTTGTATCAAGACCTCCTCGCTCGATGTTTTAACGCAGGCGGACGTGGCAAGTCTGGCTTCAAGGAAGTACGGCACGCGTCGACATATTTACCACTCGCTTTTCTCAGGGTCTTGGCGGACGGGCCGCTTGCCCGGGCTGCCGAAGGGCGCGGCGCTGCTTCCAGCAGCCCTCGCGGAGAACAGCACAACGTTTCCCCCAGCGGCGTGGTGACGGCACCGGTCACGCTCAGGAGAAGTACAGTCGAAGTCGACGGTAAGGATGGGCAGCCCTCCCAAGGGCACCCCCGCATCCTTGCCTCCTCGGTCCATCCTTAACCTCGTTCGATCGCCAGCCCCGCTGGAACAAAAAGCTTCAACACGGGCGCCCAGGGGGCTTGCATCCTCATCGCGCATGCTTACCATTTTGATTGTACCTGATGGGTGGACTGGATGGGGGCAGTCACGTCTGCGGAGAAAGAAACGCAGACGCGGGCGCACGAGGCAAATGCCAAAGCGCGCATGTAATGTAGTGCATGGTGGGTAGAGGGAGAAAAGAAAAATAACAAACAACAAAAAGGGAGGAACGCGCTGGCCGGTGGATTGGACACGACGAACGATGGCGCCTTTGCGGCGCAAGATCAGGGACAGCGCTAGGGGGGAGCGCATCCACCCCCTCTCGCCCAGGCATCGCTGACAGGGGCCCCATGGCCCACCCTGCCCGGGAAGGTGCGGATCCGCTCTCAGGGGCATATCGCGGATCCATCGGCAATGTATCGCCGACTCCAGACAGCCCTCCGCCTCCGCCTCCGCCTCCGCCTCCGCCTCCTCCTCCTCCTCCTCCTCCTCCTCCTCCTCCTCCTCCTCCTCCTCCTCCTCCTCCTCCTCCTCCTCCTCCTCCTCCTCCTCCCCCCCTTGAGCCGGTCCTCACTTCACAATTCGAAACAGCTACGCGGACGGGGATCACGAAGGGGGTCCAGGACGGGCCACCGATTTCAGGGGCTCAGCGTCCCCCCCCCCCCCCACGCGTCAGAAGAATCGAGCAGAGCACTTCCTTACAGACAAGGTGTTGGTGGAAAAGCACGAGAACCACATGCTAGCGATGACAGGGCTGAGGGGTGGGGGGGGCATCGGGTCGCGCTTGAGATGCAAAAGATTGTTTTTCCCGCTGGAAGGCTGGCCAGGGCAATTCTTCGAAAGCTAGTTTTTCCGTCTGATGTAACAGGGTTTGGTGTTACAAATGAGCACTTGTTGAGTTCGATGCGTCATTGGGGGCGAGCTATTGTTTCGCAAGACGCAGAATTGGCAAGAACGCAAAGGCCACACAAACACCAACCGTGCCACTGCAAACGCGGTGGCGCTTTTATGTATAGCATCGAATATTGTGATGTTGGCATGTTGATTTGATGAAGGATGTCCGCAATCGAGCTGGACGTGGAGAACGTTCTAGAATACCCTAGCAGCATTCAGTCGACATGTGCGTTTCTATATGCTTTATTGGGCCACCTCGACGCTCTCACTGCTAACGTCGATCGTCGGCATCGCCAATGCTGCTGACCTTGTCGTTGTCGCTATTGCGGCTGGTATCATTAGCATCGCTGGCACCACCTGATTAATGGGCGGCATGAAGGAAAGGAGAGGGGCGGGCGGAAGGAGGCGGAGGAGGAGGAGGAGAAAAAGGCGGGGGGGGAAGCAGGAGGAAAAAGGGTAAAGGAGAAGGAGTACCGAGGAGGAATGAGGTGAAAGGGTGAGCATAGGGGGGGGAGGATGCAGTATTCAGAGACCGTCAGTGAAACGTGCTCACGTCGTTCAGGCTCGCATCCAAGCTGCCGCCAGAGGAGGAGGCGGAGGAGAAGGAGGAAGAATAGGAGGGCGAGGCAGACGCAGAGGATGGCCGAAAATCATTACAAACAAAATTCCGTCGTGAATTGCTCGTAACGGTAGGAAAGAAGGAATTGCGCTGGGGAGGATGCTTCGACGCCGGCTGCATCCACATGAGCATCAACTGCGGGCCCAGGGACACGATGCCGAGGAAGAGGCGGGCGTGGAGGAGGGAAAGCTTGAATACCGTGGGGGCCCACGATAGCCTCGTTCTCGTCGTCCTTCCTCCCCAGACTAATCTTATATCGTTCCGTCGTCCGCCTCCTACTCTTCCTCTTGCAGCTCATCGTCTGGCTCTCCATCCTGCTACCATCCTCCTTCTTCTCCTTCACCCTCTTCCTCACCCTCCTCCTTGTCCTCATCTGTTTCTTCCTCCTCCGTCTCCTCCTCCTCAACCTCCCCATCTGCCTCTCCATCCTTATCCCATCCTCCTCCGCCTCCTCCACTTCCTCCACCCTCTTCCTCGCCCTCCTTCTCCACCTCCTCATCTGCTTTATCCTCCACCTTCTCTGCCTCTCCATCCTCCTCCCAACCTCCTCCTCATTCTCCTTCTCCTTCTCCTTCTCCTCCTCCCCATCATCATCTTCCTCATCCTTCTTCTCCCCCTCATCCTCCCTCATCCTCACCCTCCCCATCCTCCTCCTCCTCCTCATCCTCCTCCCCATCCTCCGAACATTCTGTGTTCGAAAGGTGTTTGGTGCTCGTCAGGTCCGTCCCCGGGGGCCCAGCAGTCAATCACAGCCCGATTTGGGGAGAAGAAGTTTCGTTCCTTATTGAGGGGCGCTCGTCATGGCAGGATTTCAGCTGCAGCAGCATATCTTCACGTCCGCAGCTCCACCGACCTGGCGCGGGCCAGCCCTTTCTGCGGTGGACCTTCTCGGGCGGCCCCCCTGCCTGCAGGAGGGCCCCCATCGCTGGAGGAGGCTCTCCCGACAGCCCCCGATCCGCGCCTCGTCGAGGTGCGCTCGAGAGCACGGAAACGACTCACGCCGCAATGTCCGCGCGCACGGACGGGGCCGAGAAAGCTTCAGATCTGGGAGCCCGTGCGGCGGGCTGGCGCGGCAAGCTCGCCAGACCCCTGACGCCATGTCCCTGGACCCCCGACGTCATGGTATTGTCACAAGGGGTCGACTCCCGGAGCTCCCGACCTCTTCCCTGGGACCCACTCTGCTAAGTGGGCTCTGCCCACTTAGCCCACATGCTTGCCCACCGTAAGCCGCTTAGGGCACTTGCTACCCGCTGATGCGCTACGCTAGGCCAGGTATAACCCACTTTGACATCCAGTGAGGACCCCACAATATATCCCCTTGGCAACATTAGCGGTGATCCAAGCAGAGGCCGAAAATATCACTCTCATAAACACACACACACACACACACACACACGCATCCATTTTTGAGCCAGCGACGCAGAGGGTCCTCAAGCGCGGGCAGCAGATGGAAGTGCTAATTGCGATCGAACGTAGTACACACACACACACACACACGCGCACCCAAACATATACACACACAACAACAACAACAACAACAACAACAACAACAACAACAACAACAACAACAACAACAACAACAACAACAACAACAACAACAGCAACAACAACAACAACAACAGCAGCAGCAGCAGCAGCAACAACAGCAACAGCAACAGCAACAGCAACAGCAACAGCAACAGCAACAACAACAACAACACCAAAAAAATGTCGCGACGCGGGGGGTAACGGTTCGGCGCGGCGGCGCGGCAAGCTCCGGCGGCAGGAGGGCATGGCACCGAAGTCTGTGCATTCGGGCTGGCCCGACGGCCGCTCTCGGCCCGTCTCCCCCTCCCCATCGCGATCGGTAGCGACCGATCGGCACTCCAAATCGGTCGCGACCAGTACCAGACTTCAGCAGTTTCGGTCGCGACCAGAAAAGTGTGGCACCCGCTGCTCAGGGCCCGTCCCCCTCCTCCGCCCCTGGCCCCGAGAGGCCGGACCTCGAGCCCATCAAGACGGCGCGGTATTCGTTCCGCGCCGTCATCTCCCAGGCGCCCCGGCCGCGGGCGCGGCCGCAGAGCTCCGACCTGGGAGATCTGGGCGTGGCAGGTCTTGTCCACACTGGGCGCGTTCGCAGAGAACAGCGGGCCCCAGGGCCCTCACAGGTCGATGCGGCTCGAGCAGTAGCGCAGAACGATTGGGTCGGGGGCTCCTGTCGTGAGTTGCTCTGATGTGAGATGGGGTCTGAGGCCACTGTCGTGAGTTGTTCTGATGTGGCATGTTTGCTCGTGCCGTCGGATCTCAGGGACCACGTGACTCGTCCATGCAGGACCCTCCACGCCATGGGCGCCGCGGCTATCGAAAACGGATCTGGGACGAAAGAACACCCTCGGGGACGGAGTGGGCGCATGGAAAAAAATCACAGTGTCGGATGTTTGGGGCCAGGAGCTCCCAGAGTCGGCCTCGCACAGAGGGGGGGGAGGGGGGAGAAGGCTGCGTCGAAGCACCACTGCTTCTTCGAAGGCGCGGGCCTTGTCTGAAAGGCCGGCGCCTTCTAAGAAGCAGCCTCCCTCTGAGAAGCTTTCCCCCTCTCCCCCCACCCATTTTGTGCGCGCCTCCAAGTGCAGGCGGCGCATGCGAGCGAGCGCCCCGTGCCAGGTCGGCCGAGTGACCGACAGCCCAAGGGGTCAATCCCCCTCCTCCTCCTCCTCCTCCTCCTCCTCCTCCTCCTCCCTCCCTCCCTCCCTCCCTCCCTCCCTCCTCCCTCCCTCCCTCCCTCCCTCCCTCCCTCCCTCCCTCCCTCCCTCCTCCCTCCTCCTCCTCCTCCTCCTCCTCTCCTCCTCCCTCCTCCTCCTCCTCCTCCTCCTCCCTCCTCCTCCTCCTCCTCCTCCTCCTCCTCCTCCTCCTCCTCCTCCTCCTCTCCCCTCCCTCCCTCCCTCCCTCCCTCCCTCCCTCCCTCCCTCCCTCCCCCTCCTCCCTCCCTCCTCTCCCTCCCTCCTCCTCCTCCTCCTCCTCCTCCTCCTCCTCCCCTCCTCCTCCTCCCTCCTCCTCCTCCTCCTCTCTCCTCCTCTCTCCTCCTCCTCCTCCTCCTCCTCCTCCTCCTCCCTCCTCCTCCTCCTCCTCCTCCTCCTCCTCCTCCTCCTCCTCCTCCTCCTCCTCCTCCTCCTCCTCCTCCTCCTCCTCCTCCTCCTCTCCTCCTCCTCCTCCTCCTCCTCCTCCTCCTCCTCCTCCTCCTCCTCCTCCTCCTCCTCCTCCTCCTCCCCTCCTCCTCCTCCCTCCTCCTCCCTCTCCTCCTCCTCCTCCTCCTCCTCCTCCTCCTCCTCCTCCTCCCTCCTCCTCCTCCTCCTCCTCCTCCTCCTCCTCCTCCTCCTCCTCCTCCTCCTCCTCCTCCTCCTCCTCCTCCTCCTCCTCCTCCTTCCTCCTCCTCCTCCTCCTCCTCCTCCTCCTCCTCCTCCTCCTCCTCCTCTCCACCTGCTGATGCTCCTTCTCCTCCCCCCCCCCCCTACTCCTCCTCCATGGTACTGATGCCTCTGCCTTCTCCTCCCCCCCCCCCCTACTCCTCCTCCATGGTACTGATGCCTCTGCGCGTCCGTCCTGGGGAGCCTCCGCCGCCACGGCCGGATCCTCGTCGAGGCTCTGCCCCAGCCGAGAGTTGCCCAGGCCTCGCCAGCTCCCGGAGGCGCTCCCGCAAGATGCCCCCCCCCGGCCAGGCTCGGCACCCGCGGGGCCGCCTCTAGGCCCCCTGGGGGGCGGTCGGCAGGCTGCTCGGGAGGGGAGAGGGAGGGCGGGCCCCCGAGGAAGGCATACAAGCTGCCTCTGCCGAGGCATGGAACGTGCTGCCTGGCCTCATATACTTGCCGGCTCTCCCGCGCTGTCGCGGGCATCCGCGGGCGAGCGGGCAGCCCCCCACGGCCCGCTGGCTGACGCCATGCGCACTCGCTCCCGCGGCTCGGCCAAGTGAGGTCCCCGAGGGGAAGGGGTCAGGAGGTGTTCGGTGGCGGGCAGCTCGAGGAGCACAGTCAGGACGCGGAGATGAGGACCACTTTGGGTGCAGGAGGAGCTCTGGTTTTCGGTCCAGTCCGCAGATCCAAATCGGGGACCCCCTTCGTGGCCGAGGCTCGCCGTGGCCAGAAAGCCCCTTCCTTCGTTCCTGATTCAGCGTTCCCTGTGGCAGCTCGAGGAGTAGCCGAGTCCGTGGGAGGCCTGGGCAGGTCGGCAACGCCGTGCCTGCCGCCACTTTCTTGGTTCTCCCGTTTTTCCACAGGGGCAATGCTAAAGGGCAATGGTGATGCTGTGATCCGTTCCCCTACAATCGGACGTTTGCGTCGGTTCCTAGACGTTGCCCGGCTTTTGCAAGCGCTCCAGCAGTTGCGCCTCGCCGATGGCGTTCTGGGGGTGCCCGAATCGTCCCGAACGGCCGCTGGAGACCCGAGCTATGACGCGAAAACCAGGGAGCAGCTCGAGAAGCAGTCGAGTCAAAGAGAGGCCTGGGCAGATCGGCAACGCCGTCCCTGCCACTACATTCTTCGCTCGCCCTTCTCCCTAAGGGGCAATGTTGAAGGTCAACGTTCCTGCTGCATATGCTCCTCTACAGTCGGGCGCTTTCGTGGGTTACCCGAGCTATGACCCGAAAACCAGGGGGCAGCCAACGTTAAGGGGGGATATGCTCAGGAGGGGACGCATCGACGCCCAGTCACCCGTTCATCGCCGATTGGGGGCCCCAGAAGCCACCCCGCCCAGGACCGTGCGGTTTCGCTATCTGGGGCCTGTCGCCGATCTGACGGCGATGTTTCGCCGATTCCAGCTCGATGGTTCTCCCCCCCGAGCGGGCCCCCCCCACCAACGTTGCCTCTCACCTCTCCCTCCTCCCCCCACCAGAGTCTTTCCGCAGCTCTCGACCTCCAGGGGTCCTCGCCGAGCGCAGGGACCGTCCAACAACGACTCGGGATTGAAAGTCGGCCCGTTGCCCCAAGGGCGGCTTCTCGTCGTGAGCCGTTCTGTTGACGGCCCGGGGGCCCTGCGAGAGCCCCCAGAGACCAGGAACGGGCGAAGACGTCCGCCTTAAACCTTTCAATGTGCTAGAAGTCTGGGTAGCTCGCACCCACTTCGGTGTCGCGCCCAGGGGGGACGGCAGATGGGGGCGGGCCTTCTCAGAAGGCTCAGAAGGCCTCTGGCCTTCTGACAGGCTTCCTGGGCCTTCTCCCAAGACAGGGGCGGCTCCCCCGAAGAGAGGCTCTCTGAGAAGCCACGCCGCCTTCTGAGAACGCTTGCCGCCTGCCCCCTCGGCGCGCCGCCGAGTTTGGTTTTTTGGAGCATAACTCAGGCCTCTGGCGGCCGTTCGGGACGATCCGGGCACCCCCCGAACGCTCTCGGCGAGGCGCAGCCGCTGGAGCGCACCCCGAGGCTGGAAGACCGCCGAGAACCCACGAGTGCACCCGAAAACCTCCAGCCTCGAGCCCGAAGCTCCCAGACTCGCCCACTCTCGCGTGCCCGCTCTCGCGTGCCCCCTTCGGCGCGCCGCGGGCATCACTTCCCCCCTCGGCGCGCCGCCGATCGCTCGCTCACGTCCCTCGACACTTCCTCGAGGGCAGGCACCCACAGCAGCATCAAAGGGAGAAGAGCCTTCGCGTTCTCCCCTCCCCCTGGACTCTTCAGGAAAGCCTCGGGAGAGATGGTCCCCTGAATGGGGGAGTCGAGCAGGCGTCGATTGTGCAAAAACGCTCACGCCTCGCGTCGGGCTGCCGCCCGCGATCTGAGAGCCCGCCTCCGTGGCGCAGAGGCTGCCGCCGTGTGCGCGTGGCCTCGGCTACACGCACCCTTTGCAAGGAGGCATGCGCAGCCTCGGCGAGGGTCAGGGGCAACGGCAGGGGGGAAGGGGGATAGGCCGATAGGCTCAGGGGGGAACGCATCGACCCCCAATCTCGAGGAACAAGAAACTGCAGAAACACAAACTGTCGGAGCTCCAGGAGTTTATGAGTACGTTTCTCTTCGATCCTCTACAATCGGACACCTTCGTCAGTTCCTGGACGTTGCTCGGATCTGAGAAGCGCTCCAGCAGCCTCGCCTCGCCGAGGGCGTTCCGGGGATGCCCGAATCGTCCCGAACGGCCGCTGGAGACCCGAGCTATGACCCGAAAGCCAGGGGACAGTTAACGTTAGGTGGGAATCGGCTCAGGGATGGGACGCATCGACCCCCAATCGCCCACGGATCGCCGATAGGGGCCCGATAGCCCAGCCCGCCCAGGAAAGTGCGTTGTTGCCATCGGGGGCTTATCGCCGATGTATCGGCGGTGCATTGCCGATTCCCGGTTGATGTTTCCCCCCCCTGCTGAGCCAGTCCCCCTTCATCGGCGAGGAGTGTTGCATCTCGGGGAAGGAAAAAGTTGCACCAAAATCCGCAGACTGCATCCGTACGCCACCGATGTGCCCAGGCCCCCTCTCATCGCACAAAAAATACGACGGGATGCGGTTTCGCTGCTATTTTCGGCATCTGTGGGCCCTCGCCAGGCCCTGGGGCCGTCAAAATATTACCTACTCAGGATGAAAAGCCGGTCTTGGGGAGTTGGTCGAGACTTCTGGGGGTCGACGTCGCGGAAAACATGGCGTCGGGGGTCTCCGCGCTTGGCCAGGCAAGGTGGTGGTGTATAGAGGCTTTCTACGATCTTCTGCGTATAAGCACACGAGCTTTCGGAGCTCTGCGCGGAGTTCTTGGATCCGCGCTGAGCTCCGAGAGCTGATGTTTATGCCATGTCTTTCTCCCTCAAGCATCAGTGTCGGGGAGACCCCAGGCGCGCGTCGCCGGCGCCTTCGACGTGCCCTAGAGAGAGCTGCGGCTGCTGCTTGGAAGCCATGAGCCTCGTGACTCCTGGTCGCTGGATCGCACGATCGCCAGGAGGAAGGAATAGTGGGAATGATGACCAGCAGCAACGCTTGTCATTTGGGACAGGACTCGCCGACGGTGTCACCGCAGACATTGCCCATTTGGGACGAACGTCGCCTGGACAACAGCGGTCGCTTTTGGCTTGGGACAGCGTTCACTGTGGGGCATCGTCCCCGATGTTTCAGTCCCCACTTCGGGCGTTAAGACTGGAGGACGTCACATCAGAAAACCCTGCCGAGCATCTTGTTCCCATCCCTGGTGCCAGTCTCGGTATGGCAAATTCTTCGCTCACGACTTCATGGGCGGCTCCAACTGGGCGAATAGCGGCTGGGGCTTCACCACGAGCGCGGTCGCACTGCTGACATCCCAACGAAGATGGGTGCCGCATTCTTCGCCAAGATCGGGCGATGTCGAGCCAAGTCTCTCCTCCCCACGGTGCAGCAGAGGGCCCGTGAACCCGACGCAGCGCATGTGATCGAGATTCCGCGCGCGGGTGAGTGGCGGCGACGCGAAGCCGTGTTCAGTGCACTCAAGGCAGGGGGGGTTGCTGCCCAGCTTGCGGTGGTGCGGGTGCGGCTGCGGCACACCCGGTATTCTCGGCAAGCGCAGGCACAGTGTTCCAGGCGTTGTTGCTCCTGTCTCTGGCAAGAAGCTTTGAGAACTCTTCTCCTCCTCCTCTTCCTCATCCCTCCTCCTCCGTCTTCTTTTTGGAGATCTGGAAAACCATCTCCTTAGACGTCCCCTTTTTCCGGGACGTGGACCACCAGCAACCTTACACGTTCCCCGGGGATTGAGGCCGCCCATTCATCCTGAGTCGTTTTTGACGGTCAGAGAGCTTGGAAACGGCTTCCAGATGCCGAAGACAAGATGTTTGCCGGCATAGACACCAAACAGTGGGTCATTGCATTTTGGATTCGCAATATGCGTGTTGCAACCTATGTGGTGCCGTCTATAGGGCGCAACTAATCTGAAGAATTCGGCATCGTCAATTCCAATGCTCAAGCAAATATCCCACTCCACCCAGCCATCCACCCGTGACTTGTTGGCAAGACGCACACGGATGGCACCCCCACGTTGCGTTATTTGACAGGTTTGACACGGATGACGGGGGAGCGGTACCGATTGATGGCACATTGTATCACGTATTGTTTAAATTTAAAGACCAGAGAAAACAAACATGGAAAACAAGCACAACAGTGACCATCAGTTCTGGCCTTGGCATGGGGATAGAGGTTGCTACGTTGCAGAAGTAGGAATAAGTGTGGGTCACATGCTTGCGATGCTCTATACATGATGCAGCCTATGCTATGCAATCTGCGTTGTGCACTTCACGCGGCGCAGTCTACGTGGTGCATGCTACGCGTTGGAATATATGTGGTGAGCTCTACCCGGCGCTTTTAGTGTTTGAAGAATCCTAAGCCGTCAGTTCCAATGATCGAATAAGCATCCCACCCACCCGCCCGCAATTTTCTAGCAAACCTCAAGTGTCGCAATGACATGACGACCCGGTACCATGCTGATCTAAGATTCGATTTGGTGAGTGATGATGGTGACGATGATGAGGATAATGATGATGGTGGTGGTGTCGATGACGAGGGCCTCGACAAAGGCGATGACTATGACGATGGTTAGACGGTGTTGATGATGACGACGACGATGGTGATGGTGATGATGAGGATTAGGATGACGGTGATGGTGATGGTGATGATGATGGTGATGATGATGGTGATGGTGATGACGATGGCGATGGCAATGCTGATGTTTGTGATGAGGAGGTGCGCGCGCAGAAACTCTGACAGGTGTATTGTTGCTTCATGCGTGCTTGAACGCATACCTTGATGTGCGTAGAGGGCAAGCTTCACAATGGTTCCGAGCTGCGCGCGAGGAGACTCGCGCGTAAGGCACGCAAGGTATGATTTGACAGAGTTGACGGGTGCGTCATGGTTGTCGGATATGTCCAATGCGGTCGTGCGCGTTACCCGCACGGTCGCAGGTGAGAGATCGGCACAGACAACAGCAATGTTCGTATGAATTCGGCGAGTGCGCGTATACCTAATTTTAACAATATCTCGTCGAAAGATGCACTGTGTTTGATGGCGCTCCTTACAAATCCGTCGAAAGCCATGGTCTGGTAGGACTTAGATATGTGCGCGTACGTGTGGCCCGCATATGTGTGATATGATACAGACGCTTACAGGTCGCAGCTGTTAGATCACCACATGCGTCCCGCATTGTTATTTTCGGAGGTTGATGGACCTCCTACCCTGACACGTCGGTTAGCGAATTGGCTGTTTTCGGTTCGCGAGAGGGCGTCGCGGCCGTCATTTTTGCGGGTCCAGGTCCGTCGGTTTCGGTCCTAGGTCGGTTTCACTAAAGGCTGGTTTGCTAAAGGGAGGTTTGTCCACCGCCGATATTTGACAGGGATGACGGGGCGTGTCGATACCGGATGGCTGCGCACTAGATTTTTTGATAGAAGTCATGTTACAAATAAGTAATAAAGCCAGCAAAATTGGCCGTACAGAGTCATCACAATCAGATAATGCAGAGCATGCTATTGTATTGCACATACGGGAGGCCTAACGGGAGACCACGGGGGAGAATTCACGGGAGACGATACGGATCACCGATTCTTGGTACGGAGGAGTTCACACGTGCCTCAAAAAGCAATACGCAGTCCTTATAGACAAGATGTCCAGGGAAGGAGTAGGGAGTGTACGAAGAGCCGTGCGGTCGAGGCTGGCCTCGGCACCAGGGCAAGCATCCTTTCGGAGCGAGAAGAGCGGAGGTGATGCGCAGGGCGGCGACCGGGCGAAAGCCCAGAAACGCCAGCCAGCGCACGGGGCGGCGACGGGCGGCGGCTGGGCGGAAACCCGGAGACGCCAGCCCGCGCACGGGGGGCGGCCTTGGGGCGGCGGCTGGGCGACGGCCCTGCCACGCCGGCCAGCGCACAGGGCGGCGACGAGGCGGCGGCCGGGCGCGGCGACGAGGCGAAAAGCAGGAAAGGCCGGCCCGTGCACGGGGCGGCGGCTGACGGCGACCGGGCGAAAGCAGGGAGAGCCAGCCAGCGCACAGGGCGGCGGCCGGGCGAAAAGCGCACAGAAAATCAGCAGGTAAAAAGCTTTCAGTGCAAGCATTGCTTGGGGGAGGTTGCCGTCGCGATGTTTCGTTACGCCTGCATCTGCGGCCAGAAAAACGAGGCAGCTCCAGGATGGAGATGCATCGTTCGTTCTCGTTCTGGAGCGCTCTGGAACGGCCGCGGCGCCAGGCGCACCCTCCAGACCGGCCGGCTCTCAGCGATCCCCCCCGACGTATCATCCCGACTCGATGCTGTCCCGATATTGGCTTCGTCTCAAAGCATGTCTGGAGCTTCGGGTTTTGCCTCAAGCCCCGCACCCCCCCTCCATCGATCGCGCGGCGACGAGGCCGTCGACCTGCCAGCCGAGGACCCGGAAGGCCTCCAGGGCAGCCGCTCTTGCTCCGATTCTTGTTCCACCATCTTTGGTTTCCAAAAGGGAGGGAGCGAGAGAGAGAGAGGAAGAGAGAGAGAGAGAGAGGAAGGGAGGAGAAGGAGGAAGATGAGGAGGAGCAGCGAGCAAAGCTCGAAAAGACGCGCCGAGTTCGGGTTCGGGGGTTAATGGGGCGTTTGGAGAAGTAGAGTAGCACTATCTATCACATCACCAGGACCGTGCCAACGCCACAAGACAACTGGCACAGTCACGCGTGGGGGATGCGACATCGCTGGCGCAACCCCCAAAAGGCCCGACACAGCCTCGAGCGGCAACAGAGTGTAAAGCCAAACGAATCGATAAAGAACTATGACGCAGAAAGAAGGCCAAGCCACTGAGCGACCTCGGCCGTCACCACAAGGGATCGGGGGACGTGGACAGCGGGGGTACCCTTCGCGCCTTTCGGGCGTACGCCAGCCTCAAAGTTTATCTGCGCCGCTTGCGCTGGGGAGGGGGGGGCAACCAGCAGGTCAGGATCGCAGAGATCATACAATTGGGAGCGGGCCCCGCGAGCCGAGTATGCGCCACAGCGGGCGCAGCCCACGAGGTCACTAGCGAAGTACAGGCGGCAAACCTAGGACACCTAGCAAATGTCCAGCCTGAGTTACGACTGATGGGGACATGCGGAGCAGCGTCAGGCGTTGTCAGGATGCGCTCTCCTGTTCTGGGCTCGAGCTGGGCGACTCACTCCCTGCGCGCCTCTCGAGCCCCTTCGGCTTGCGGCCGACCGTCTGCACACTGTCGGACATATTTTCGCCCTCCGTGCCCTGGGAGTTGCCGGGCCACGCTGCTACTTGGCGGAGCTCCTTCAGCAGGTCACCGTGTTGCTTGACCGCCGCCTCTGGGATGCATTGGTAGCGTAGCCCTCGCTTGGCCGCGATGTCGGCCCAGTCATTGCCTACCATGTCGAGCCAGCCTGACGCGGCCAGTTCTGATTGATGAGACCTCACCAGGGAGATGCGCAGGTCACCTGGAAGCGGGCCGAAGGCCAAGCCGAGGCAGTGGTGTCTCTGCATCGCAGCAAAGTCCAAGCCTGCTCTGTTCGCTTCGGGCCAGCCGATCGGTGATCGTCCAGACCCATCTGTGAAGATGGCACCCGCGATAGTGAGGCCATCTTCCCATCTGTCGCAGTGCCACATGTCGTTCATGACGTGTGGTGGGACGATTGGTGAGCGGACCCTCGGCATCAGCGCGCGAGTGTAAAACAGGTCGTTCACCACGGATTCCCTGGCTGCGTTGATGGCGTCCTCCTCGACCGCCTGTGAGCGCACGGTGCGCAAATGAGGGCAACTCCACCACCGATGGCGTAGGTTACCGTCCCAGCCTTCACCACATATCTGGCAGTCGTCCACGTTTGGGAACAGGTGATTGGCCAAGCGCTGCGGAGACCACTGCCCCCCAATGACGGCAGACCGAAGTGCTCCTGCTGCCCGAGCGCCAAGTCGCCACGAACGAGCTGTCGGCGGCGCAGTGAGCATCATGCGCAGCGGCTCGAGCCAGCATCCGCGTGAATCTTTGGGTGCGGAGACCGTCTCCAGCGCCACGTCAGCACGCCTCCCACTTCACGTCGACGAACGCCTTTTTCGCCGCCCGGCGAATCCATGACGGCGCATGGGTGGCGAGGTCGAGCTCGATGCCAGTGCCCGTCGTCCAGGTTGTCGACGCCCGTGAACTTCCAGTTGAGCTCGAGGCGAGTGACCACCGCGCCAGCAGGCCCAGCGGCGCGCTCCTTTGGCGACCTCACTCGACGTAGCAATCTGTCTTTCCGCTCCCACGCCTTCGCCAGCACCCCATGATTCACGGCGCCCTCCATGACAAGCTGCGCCCACATGAAAGCCAGCTCCACCGTGGCGATGCACTCCGGTAGCTGACGCGGGGCCGGTTCGAGCTGCGACGCCAACAACGTCGAGGCATTGGCGGATCTTTTCCACCATCCAGCTCGAGCGAGTCTAGTCATTGTCGCCACCGCCGATAGGGGGGGCGCGGACCACCTGGAGCCCGCGCTGCAAGGCTTTCTGCGCCAGTCGGAGATTGCCCCGCGGCCTGCGAAATCTCGGGACCAGTGTCTTGACCTTGCGCGCCCGCGCGGCCGAGAAGGAGATGGGCTCGCCTGCGCGCGTCTCCATGCCGAGCACGTCGAGGGAGCTCGCCACCCTGAACCCGTGCGCCTTCGTGCGCGAGTCCGTTGAGTACCGTTGCCGCTGCGACGACAATGGTGCCGACCCACCTGGACCTCGACGTCGTCTTCGCAGACATCGATGGACCTGTGCACGCGCGAGGTGGAAACAACAAACACGTCGGAAGTCATGATCATGACCAGCTGTAGTAGATACATCGCTACTGCGAAGCCTCGAAGCACTCTTCGTTCGACCTCAACCACGCACGAGCACGCGCTGCCCCACCACACTCGCCGAGGTGCATAGGAGACGCTCATCACCACACGCGGAGCACTGCCACGGGAAAGCCGTGCATCCTGGCCGCGAGCATGCTTTTCATCCACGCAGCTCCGTCGAAGCATGTGCCGATGTCGATCAGCGCCACAACAGTGGCGCCCCCGCCCAGCGCGCCCACGGCCTCCGCGTGGACCGCGGCGCGCGCGGCAACATCCACGGTGGAGTTGCCCTGGCTCGGGCGAAGGACGGCCAGGCGCTCTGCGCCGCCCGGCGTCAGACGTGCGCCACGCGGACCTTCGCGCATAGCCCATGGAGGGTGGGGACGAGAACGGCGGGCTTGAACCCTCCTGTAGGTTTGCCATGCAGCATGTCGTTGACAGACAGGACCGCCGAGGGCCACTTGCACCGGGCCCCATGCGGCTCACATGGCGTACGCGACGAGAGCCAACGCGTCGCCTGACGAAAGAGGGCATGCGCGGGGCGAGGGCCTGTCTGATCCTGCTCTCGCCCCCCACGAAAAAGAGGGCGCAGCACGCCCGAGGCACCCCCACCTTGGGCACCTCGAGCATCTGATTGGGCACGCTGCACAGGAAATCCGCCACTTCGCCGCCCTGGTCGACCAGGTGATCCACTGCAAACGACGAATCCTCATCGCGAAGACCCTTGTCGGCCGCGCTATACAGCTCGCCCTTGGCGGCGCTGCCGGCGGGCGCCTTGCCTCCCCAGATGTCGCTCCAGTAGTCCATCTGGCTGTCTGCAATGGCCTGCGAGGGAGCCGTCTTGATGCCAAATCTACCGACCTGGCGCGCCCATCCCTTCAGCTTCGCCATGGCGAACAACGGCGCGGGCGCTACTACCAACGCCTCCACTCCTGAAACGCGGGTTCTCCGTCCCGCTGTTTTGGCCTCAGGCGCTGACGTGCCTGAGTGGGGAGGTATGTGACAGCCACCGCTACAGAGCGCAAGCATCGTGGCTCTGACCCCGCTGCGGGGTGGCTGCCACGCGCTGGCCCTCCGATCGGCCTCCAAACATATCGCGGCCCTTGAGCGCGTCCGCAGTGCTGCTCTGGCTCCTCTACCTGGCGGTTGCGACAGAGGGCATGTCCCATGTGATGAAGCATGCCACGGTTGCAGGCAGCCGATCTTGTCGTGTGCCTCTCGCTTGTCAGCTGGTTGACCGAGTTGAGCATCATCTTGAACCCAGCCCAGGTATCATCGATCAACCGGTGGGCCCTGAAGCGGGTGGCATCCCATTTTTCAGGGTGACCTGCACGTGCCGCCGCGGCTGTGCTGAGAGGTCGAAGCGAACAGGGTGGCGTGGGCATGGCGCCCATGACTCAGGGACGCGAGGCCGCTCGCATGCCTTGACGAGGTTCTCCGAGACCATCCAGCAGTCGATCCTGATGTAGCGCCCCTTCGCACTTCTGCATGTCCCCTCACAGCGCTGTGGAATGACGATGCCAGCATTCACGACATCCATGATGCCGGTGGTGTCCAGGTCCTCTGGCGGCGCGTTCCAGTCTCCCCCGAAGATGAAAGGCACCGCGAAGTGACGCATGCAGGCGGCCAGCCGCATGACTTCGTGGTAGTTGATGCGCAGGTCGTCGTTTGAGCTGACCGACCCCATGTACACCGAGCCAATGATGAAGCCGCCAGGCAGTCCAGTGTGGACATGAACGGCCACCGAACATGCTAACGATATGTCAAAATTGCCCATCACCTTGCAGCCCGCGAGCAGGGTGACGCAGATGTGCGCCTTCACGAAATTTCCGACGCCAGCCGATGGCATGTTTGATTGCCGTCTGCGACAGTTAGAGATGAACCCAACCGGTATTGCGGATTACCGTACCGCGCGCGCTTGGGACGCGTGTTGCCGAATGGCGTCGTGTTTGCCAATGCTCATGGGCCTGTTTTCCACAACCACCGCCACCAGAAGTTGGAGGGGGGAAGGAGGTGGAGGACGAGGAGGAGGAGGAGGAGGAGGAGGAGGAGGAGGAGGAGGAGGAGGAGGAGGAGGAAGACCCCCTCCCCCTCCTACTTATGGTGGTGGTGGTGGAAAACAAGCCCACCAAATGCCCTGGGGCCCTGCCGTGACCTCTCCACGCACGGGGCCGAGGTGCTGGACGTTGGCCACCAGGGCCTCCAGCAGCTGGCCTCTCCGACGTCGCCCCTCGGCCGGCCTCTCTGCGCCGACTGCGGAGCGTCGAGGCTGCTGTGCTGGAGCCCCAGCACGGCCGCTGCCAAGGACGGCAAGGTCTGGGCGGCGACGGCGTCCGGAGCAGCCTGCGGCACGGCTGCCTTCGCCCGGGCCACCCCTGCGCAGAGCGTCGCGGTGTCCTCGGCCTCCACCAGCCGATGCTCCAGGTCTCCCGCATGCTGGGCCAGCTTCTCATGAGCGACCTGTTTGGAGGCCAGTCTGTCGGTAGAGCTACGCAGGGTATGCTCTGGAGCCATGGGCTCACGCTCCTCCTGCTCTGCACAGTTGAGCTCTTCGACGGCCATGCGCATGAGCTCGTGGACGTCGTCGTAGCGTAGCCGCCGCAGGGACTGCACCGAGCGCCTGCAGCGCACCACCTCGGTGACGCTGGCTGAGATGGCTGCAGACTCCCTGTCACCAGCACCGGCACGTTCAGCACGAGCACTGCGATCGCGAGCATCACGCGATGGAGCGACGACCGTCCTTGTTTCTGCCACGTTTGAAGGAGGTCCACCTCGTCGCGAAGTTGTTCCTGAAGCCGCCGATCTTGGTGCCGGTGGCGTTGCACGCCCAGGGTGCTCCTGAAGCCTCGGTCTGGCGCCAGGGCGGTGGGGCATTGGGTGGCTCGCCTGCGCCTGCAGCATCCGCGCCCATGGCGCGCTTGACTGCCAGGTGCTCGCCGTGGTGCCTCCTCAGCAGCCGCCGCGCCGCGCCCAGCCTGAGTCCGCGGCGCGCGGCGGCTCTCGAACAGCGCGCCCGCCGACACCAGGCAGGCGCGGACCTGGAATGGCGGCCCGGACGCACCGGCGCCCGCGGGATGCGCCGCTGGCTGAGGCCAAATGGAAGCACCCGTCCCTCCCCCCCGCGGGGGGCACGGAACCCAAATGGCAGCTTGGAGGAGGAGGAGGAGGAGGAGGAGGAGGAAAAGTAAAAGGAACAAGAAAAGGGAAAGGAAGGAGAGGGGAAGGAACAGGAGGACGAGGAAGAGGGGGATGGGGAGCAGGAAGGAAGACGAGGGATGAGATTGAAGCGGATGAGGAGGAGGAGGATCAAAAGGATGGGAGGATACCGAGGGCGAGGAGGAGGAGGAGGAGCAGCAGCAGCAGCATCCTCCTCTTCATCCTGCTCTCTCCTTTCCCCCCGCCTCCTCCTCCTCCTCATCGTCATCCTCATCATTTCCATCCTCCTCCTCGCCCTTCCCCCCTCCTTGGCGCTCGCATACCCCCTGCTCAAAAGATGATTGGCTCATCCGCGCCTCCTCGAGGCCTGCCCTGCGCCGCCCACCGGGCTGCTCCGTCGGCCCCTGCTCCCCGATTGCCCCCGGCCTCGGTGCCCGCCCCGCGTTGCCACGGGTTCCTTACCTCGGGGGCGGAAAAGAGGGGGGTGATGACTGGGGGGGGGGGGGATATCATGGCGGGGGCCATGATATTTCCCCAGATGTTATAGCGGCTCTTCTTATTTCATTACGTCCCTGGCCCCCCCGCTGGGCCGCGCACGTGCCGCCGGTCATGATTCGCACCCCCCCCTCTTGGACACACCCCTCTTGGCCGCTCCCGATTTCCGCGGGTTCGGCTGTTGCCAGAAGCCAGGAGTGTCCCTGGCCGTCGAACACGTCGTGCTTCTCAGGATCCAAGGCGAGAAATGCGCTGGCTGCGACGCACGCCGCTCGAGGCGGCTCACGGGCCGGAATGCTCTTAAGGTTCGGGTGCACGTTGCGCAGATTTTTCGTTTCACCATGCGTTGCTGCCCAATTGCTGCTTGATACGTGTCTGCGTTGCAGACCTGGCGAGCCACCCTCAGGCGCGCCAGTGCAAGGAGACTGGCTTCTTGAACTCAAGAAAGGAATGCCCCGCGTTGCCACCAGTTCCTTTCCGCGGGTCGAGTGTTCCTAGAAGTGTCTTTGGCCCAAGGTGCCCCCAGGATCTCTGAGGAGGTCCCCACGGCCTCCAGATCAGGGGCAACGTTAGGGGGGAATGGGCTCGGGGGGGACACATCAACCCCCAATCACCCATTGATCGCCCATTGGTCACCGATAGGGGCTCGATAGCCCACCCCGCCTCGAAGCATACGGACTCGCTACTGGGGACCCATCGCCAATCTGTCGGCGATGTATCGCCGATTCCAGGTCGATGCTTCCTTCCTGAGCTGCCCCCCCCCCCGTCGTTGCCCCTGACCACGGCACCCCTCGACAGGCCCAGGGGGCCCCATGGGCTCCAGAATGAAGCGAAAAGCTGGGGACACCCTGGGCCATGGGGCACCTTCAGCCCCCCCCAGCGGGGCGTGTCTCCTGTCCAGCCGCTCAAGTGCTACGCGCCAGTCACGGGGTCAGAGCACACACGTGCTTCGCCGTTCTCCTCCGTTTCCGCTTACCTCCTGTTCGTGCTCCTGCTCCTCCTCCTCCTCCTCCTCCTCCTCCTCCTCCTCCTCCTCGTCCTCCTCCTCCTCCTCCTCCTCCTGTCGCTCCTGCCCCTCGCTTTGACTTGCCTGCGTGTATACATGCGTAGCCAAATTACCCCAGTGCGACCCTACCTAGAAGATGGAGTCCCTAGGAAAGCAGCATTAGTTGCTATGCTATGCTATGCCATGCTATGCTGCGCTATGCGATGCTATGTTATGATACGATATGATGTGTTGCGCTAAGCTATGCTATGCTATGTTATGGCAAGCTATGATATGCGATGCTAAGCTGCGCTATGCTATGTTTTGCTGTGCTGCGCTGTGCTGTGCTGCGCTGCGCTATGCTATGCTATGCTATGCTGCGTTATGCTATGCTGTGCTGGGCTATGCTATGATATGATGTGCTGCGCTATGGTATGCTGTGCTCTGCTATGCTAGAGCTCAGCGACGCTGAGATGAAGGTAAGCTAAGCTAAGATAAACCTGAGCTAAGATGAAGCTAAGCTAAGCTAAGATGAAATAAGCTAAGATAAGATGAGATAAGCAACGCTAAGCTAAGGAGACGTAACTGGGGGAACCGCGGGGCGGATGCCGGGGGAACCGCCCGGGGCGCGTTCCATTGGCCGGCCCCTTTAAGATACAGGGTAAGAACCCTTCTGGGCAGAGCCTAGGCAGGGAAAAAGAAAAACGTCGAGGAAGCCGTCGAGAAAGTCTTTGCTCGGCTTGTTTCGCACCCTTCTCTGTGTGACACCCATGGTGCGAGTTGGACAAGAACTATTGTCTTCCAGTGGATGCAGCAGCGAAGAATTCGAAACCCTGCGGGGACGAGATAGTTGAGGACGGATTGGACAAAGTGCTTTCCGACGAGAGACATTTGATCCACCTGCTTCCAATCGTTTGGCTTGTCGCCCCTTCCTCCCCTTTGTCTCCCTGGAGGCAGCTCCGACAGCATCGTCGTTGTCTTCTTCGGCTCCTCACAGATGAAGACCAAGGTCTTCCCCTGCTGCACGAACCCCGCCTGGAACCAGGAGCTGGTGGACGAGGACCCCCGGCCCACCCTTACGCCCCTCTGACATCCGACGTCTTGACTCTGGACCCCTCGCTCTGGACAAGTGCTGTCACCCCAGAGTGCTGATTCGTGGTCCTGCAGCCCGACGACGGCCCCTGGAGGCCGGAAACGGCGAAAAAAGTCCGCCCTGTGTTTTCAGTCCGTTCAAGGCCTCGGTCAGCAACATTCCCTTCTTGATTACGTGCTAAGGTCGGAGGTGACTGTAACGAGCTGCGTCTCTTCAAAGGGCCTTGGGGCGCGTGCGTGCACGACGTTTTCGGCTACAGGCCAGGCCAGTCCTGGAGCTGTCAGTCCGCGTTGGCACGGACTTCAGCTCCAAACGTGTGCGTCGTCGTCCTCCTCTTCGCTCTCCTTCCCACGGCGCAGCCGGCTCCAACTGGCTGTGGGGTCGCGCGGTGTGCACAGACCTTGCGCCGCAAGGTGGGAGTTCGGGCCCAGATCTCCAACACTTTGACGCAAACATAGGCATGTCGTTCGCCGTCTTCGGCCTCCAGGGGCCCTGGCTGGGCGCCGGGACCGTCAACAAAAAGAGACTCGGGGTGAAAAGCCGGCCGTGGGGAAAGGGCCGATCAGGCTCTCCAGGGACCCCGTACACGCTGGTCGTTGAAACTTGGTGACTCTGGATGCCCACCCGAATCTGCTTTGGGCGCTTTCCTACTTCAAGAGTCGAGCACCCAATCTACTTCCAACGCCTTCCTACTACTTCGTGTCTCTACCCACTTCTTCCGACCGACGGGTATGGAAAACAAATCCTGGCATCGGATCTCCGGGGAAGCGAGCGCCCGCGGTAGAGGCCCGCGCGCGGCCGCCAGGGGAGGAGGAGGAGCATGACGACGACGACAATGACGACGACGCCACGGGTGCGAAGCGCGCCCAGGGGCTTGCGCAAGAGAAGGAGGAGAACGAAGGGCAGAGGAGAGGATGTGAGGAGGAGGAGGAGGAGGAGGAGGACGAGGAGGAGGAGGAGGAGGAGGACGAAGAGGACGAGGAGGAGGGAGGAGAAGGAGGGAGGAGAAGGAGGAGGAGGGGCAGACTCTACAGCTGTTGCATGATCGCCAGAGTAGAACGCTACATCCTCGCGGTTCAAGTTCCCCCAACTCGGCGACGCGCTTGGGGGGGAAGTGAGAGAGGGCGGGCCCTTTTTCAGAAGGTTCGGAGGCCCACCAGCCTTCGTCTAGGGAGTTTTCCGAGCCCTCCCCGAAGACACAGAGAACCTGTCAGAAGGGGCGAGGGCTTCTGAGAAGTCCCGCCGCCTTCTGGGGAGGCCTTCTCCTCCTCAACTGCCCCCCCCCGGTCGCCGCCAACCAACGTCGAAAAGGAGGAGGGGCACGGGAAGGAAAGGGGAGGGGAGGGGGAAGGGGATGAGTGCTGCGGCCTGGCCTCCACGCGTCGAACCACCAGCTACGAAGTCTAAAGGAGGGCCGGGAACCCGGGAAGCCCAGCCAGGGTGCAGGCGACCAGGAGGACCAGTGCAAACCCAAGAGCCATCAACGATGTTGGAATACACCCTCCCTCCAAGCTCCCTCTTCATAGGCCCCTACAACGGTTCATTTCCATTGAGGGATCTGCCCCGTTGGAAGACAACCGTTTGAAGACCCGGAAGCATGCCAAAACATTGTTCTCGGGATTGTTCTCGGGATTCCAACGCCACAAATCAACCTGATTGTTGCGCATTGACGATCTTGGATCATGCCGTTCTTGGGATTTCAGCACCGCGAATCAACGTAACTGTTGCACCCGCAAAGTCCTGAATCCTTCCATAACACCGTTTCTGGTACGCTGATCGTGGGATCCGTGAAACTCGCACAATGAACGAATGTGCGCGGCGCTCAGGCGAGAGCCACATTTTGAAAAAGAACCGCCCTCAACCCGTCAAACTCTGATAATTTTATAGAACGAATGCGCGCGGCGCTGAGGCGAGAGCCACATCGTGAAAACGGGTTATTCTCAACCCGTGAAACTCTTGCAATGTTTTTGAACGAATGTGCGCGGCGCTAAGGCGAGAGCCACATTTTGGAAATGGGTGATCTTCAATCCGCGAAATTCTTGCAGTTGTTTAGAACGGGTGTGCGCGGCGCCAAGGCGAAAGCCACATTTTGAAAACCACTCCCCCTCCATCTGTGAAATTGCTGCCAACTTGTAAGTTTCAGAGGCATAAATGGTGAGGAAGTCTCAAACGAAACGTCCGGCCCGCCCCAAAAACTGGCCTCGGGGTGCGACAGGGAGAAACTATGTATAAGGAAAAGGAAAGGAGGAGGAGGAGGAGGAGGAGGAAAAAGAGGAGGAGGATGTGAGGAGGAGGAGGAGGAGGAGGAGGAGGAGGGGAGGAGGAGGAGAAGGAGGAGGAAGAGGAGGAGGAGGAGGAGAGGGAGGAGAGAGGAGGAGGAGGAGGAGCAGGAGAAGGAGAATTCTGTTTGTCGGGCACCACCGCTCCGCAGAGAGAGAGCGAGAGAGAGAGAGAGAGAACAAAAGAGAGAGAGAGAGAGGGAGAGAGGACAAACTAGGTGCGCCCGCACCATATCTGACATCCCATCGTTCCCTCCCATTTTTCCTATGGCGCTAATTGTTCTCGATCCGCGGATGCGTGCCTTGGCCGACCTGTATCTCAGCAAAAAAGTTTCGTGTTAAGCGCATTCGGGAAAGCGGAGCTGCGTACAGAGGAGGAGGAGGAGGAGGAGGAAGAGGAGGAAGAAGGAAGATGTGCAAGGAGGAGGACGAGGACCTACAGCAGCAGCAGGAACTGGAGTGGAAGGAGCGGGAGGAGCAGGAGGACCAGGGGAAGACGGAGGAGGGGACATGAGGGGGGCGGCAGCGATGAAGAAGGACTCGGATCCAGAAAAGTAGCCCGCGCTGGGGCGAGAGCGCCATTCTGAACAACGGGAGCAAAACGCCGATCCGAAAGTGAGGCCCACGGTGCAGCGGGAGCACCCAACGGTCGAATTACAACAACAACTACAACAACAACAACAACAACAACAACAACAATTACTAGCACGTGGGGACACTCCGTTCTCACCAGTGCCAGGGTTTTCATACGACGCCCGCCAATACCCCCACTTTGTGGGGGGGCCGGTTCAAGCTCTACCACATTTCCAAACGACTCTTCGCCACCACCCACACCCAGCTTCCCGCCCTATGACGTTCGGACACTTCACTTCGTGGCCTGCGGACGACCGTGGCTACTACACTGGCGCATGGGTACAGTGACTGGTTGTGGTAACATTTTCTGGACGCTAGCTTAGTATACGACTTTTTGGACAGCGCGCGCGGGTAGAAATTTTGAAAATTCGTACAGATGTTTTTCGAGGACCTACGGTGCGATTCGTATGATTTTATGTTGCGCGGGGCTAAAATTCCTAAGAAACCCAATGGTTTTTGAAGATTTCGGCGTGCGCGCGCGAAGAAAAAACGAATGTGTCCCGCATGGTATTATTTGACAGGGATGATGGCCCTGGCAGGTGCTTAACACTACTCGAAACCCTGCGCGTAAAAAAAAAGACGTGGAGAGGGCCTAGCATCTGTCAGGGCAAGGTCAGGGGACAGAGGAAAGTAGCACTCAGACGCGCAGCTGTGGAGGAGGAGGAGGAGAAGGAGGAGGAAGATATCGTCTGTTGGGCAGCAGCGGTCTGCAGAGGAAAAGAGGGGATAGAGAGAAAGAGAGAGAGAGAGAGAGCGAGGGATAGGGAAACAAACTAAAGAATGAAAGAAACAAAACACAAGACAACAACATAGTGTAGAGAGAGCGAGGGATTGGGAAAGAGGGAGAGAAGGAGTGGGGGAGAGAGGGTAAATAAGCAACCAAACAAATACATGTAGCAGCTAAAACAACAACAGCCGTATACACCACAGCAAAACCCCAAAAACGAAACACCCAAAACAACAACAATAACAACAACAACAACAACAACACCAACACCAACACCAACACCAACACCAACACCAACACCACCAACAACAACAACGACAGCAACAACACCAGCAACAACAACAGCAACAACAACAACACATTGACCCCAAACCCTGAAGTATTGCCGTGTGGAGGCGAAAGTTGTGTGGTGCATGCTACGTGGCGCAGAATATGCAGTGACGGTTACGTGATGTACGCTATGGTGTGTAAAGCTATGCGGTGCAAACCACGTAGTGCAAGCTACGTAGCGCAAGCTCATCGCACACAGCGCCCACGAGAGCCCAAAAGGTGGCACGGGCGGCAACGTGGCGCAATTTCGGTACACCCCACTGGCGCATGGGGCGCCCACGAGCGCTCACGAGGCGGCACGGGTGGCAACGTGGCGAGCCCAACCAATCACGTAAGCTAACGAAGTTAGAACCCCTAAGTGCAAGCACTGGTTGTGGAAAAGAGAACAGGAGGTGTAAGAGAAGACGACAGGGGAAAAGAGAAGTGTAGAGTAATGAAGCAAAGCAGGAGGAGGAGGAGAAGGAAGGAGGAAGTGGAGGAGGAGGAGAATGAGGATAACGAGGAGAAAGAGAACAGGAGGATAGGAAGGAGGAGGAAGAGGAAGCGGGAGGGGGAGGAGGAAGAGGCTGAGGGAGGAGGAGGAGGAGAAGGGGGAGGAGGAGGAGCAGAAGGAGGACGAGGAGGGGGAAGGAGGAGGAGGAGGAGCAGCAAAAGGTGGAGCTGCACAGCCAAGGGAGGCCGGCCGCGCCGCGAGGTGGAGCTCCCCGAGGAGGCCCACAGGCGCCCTGA